CGATCTTTTATTAATGCTAACAGATAAACTTTATTTATCTAGGGGTCCTTTTTTTTAGTTTAACTCATGAGAAATTTGAACTGTTAACATTAATTTTTATGGAACGTAATCGACATTATTTTGGTTGAAATTATTTTTGATCGTTAGACAGAAATTTATTTATAATTATTTGATTAAGGGGTCCCTGATTAGTTCCATAAACTATGAAATTTGAAAAATTTTATCCATATTTTTATTTTGTTGAGAGCCTTTCAACAAGTCCAAAGTCCGTGTGACCTTAGTTTTTAATAGGAGTGAAATATACTTTGAGGCAACAAATATTTATGCAAAGTATCTTCCTTTTGGTAATTGCCTTTTTTAGGTGTACCTTAAATATTTAAAATATTGGTAGATTTTTTTGAGAAGTTTTTCCTCGTGCTAATTTAGCAATAATAAAATACTAGCTGATATAATTTCATTGGTTGAAATAAAAAAATTAGTTTTTAAATGAAAATTCTACGAAATTAAATTTTCGGGTCGTTTCACCCTTTAGAGATAGAGGCGAGCAGCAAGCACCCCTTGTCCGGGATTCCAAACCTTTCTTACTAATCAATCATAAAAAAGGGAAAAGCCAAAACCTATTCCTAATAGGATGAATCGTTCGTTTAAGAGAGATTTTTTGGTCAAGAAAAAGGAAGCAAATTGGCAAGTTTTTAGTTCATTGGTTTAAGCTAACTCAAGGTAAATTAGTAAGTTTTACACTAAATATCACTTCAGTCATTTTTATAGTTTAATTTTTAAATTAAGGTACCAATATATCTAAGTTTTCAAATGGGGTGTCCCAGATACAAAAGTCGTTTTTTAGGGTGATTTTACAATAAATCACATAATTGGAAGTATTTTTGTAATTTAATTTTAAACTATATATATTTTAACTTTAAGTAATGAACTATTTGACTTTAATTTTTACGATAATGATTACTTATTTGAAAATTTTTAATTCATAATTTTCAAAATTAGGAAGACTCCATTATCTTTATTTTTTTTTTTTACACTAAATTTTTCTTGTTTTTATGAGGTAGATTTGAAATGAGTTTAGGTAGTAGGAAGAGAACTCTAAATGAATTTAGGATGGATTCATGTAATTTTCATTTATTTCTTAATATATTTGGGGACTTAAATTGATAATTGGGTGCAATTCGAGCAGTTAATTTCTAGTTAATACCCGACTACTACCAAAGTTAGCAATCAGTTAGGTAGCACATCAACTGCCAAAGTTAGTTTTTTCTAGCCAACAGGAGAAAATGTTTCCTTTATTGATTGTTTTTAGGGATCATCGTTTGGTTAATTTGAGTATCATTTTTAAACAACGTAAATTAATCGATTTTTTTTATTTAACTGAATTTAATTAAATTAATTTTTTAATGGAACGTAATCGAATTATTTTGGTTGAATTAATTTTGATCGTTAACAGAACTAAATTTATGATTAATCGATTTTAACTGAAATAAAAATTAATCAAAATTATTAATCACTGTTCAGTTAAAATAAAAACTGAAATATTTGCAATCTTTAATTTTATTATTTATTAAAATAATGTAGTTTTGAGAGTCAGCTAATTTGATTAATTCAATTAATTAATTTTTAACTGAATCTTTAATTAATCAATAAAAATTTAATTTTTTTAACTAAAGATTTATTTACTGAAACGAATTGTTCGAATTGGCCAAAATGAATGTTGAATGTAATTGTTTTATTTTCGCTTATTATTGCGTTATTAGATTAATAAAGTTTTTCTTTTCATTTGAAAAAAAAAAAAAAAAAAAGAAGAAGGAAAAACTAATTTCCTCAGCTTTTTCAGTTAGCTTAGCTAGATAGCTTATTTGATCGAAAGACAAAAATACCCCCGTCTAATATTACAAATTACAAATCATGTCCTTATTCCTAAAAGCATCTGTTCTCGGTATCTCGCTCTCCATTCTCCATCCACCGTCGAGCCTTGCCGCCGCTTGAGCTTCAATTTGGCTCCGATCTGTAAGTTTCTTCGCTCCTTATTTTCCTTTCTTTTGTTTCTTGCAGCCTCTGCAATGGAAGGCAGGGCATGTGTTTTTTTATTTTTTTTCTCTTCGTTTTTCATTTTCTAGGCTTTCTGTTTTTGTTATCTTTTTGCATTGACATGATGAATTAACTTGAACCATTTTCGATTTTGGATTCTTTTTGGGTCTTTCGTGACTACCCATTTCCCATTTGCTCTTGATCTACTTGAGCTTTATGATTTTTCATCCATCTTACCAGCTTTGATGCTTGAAATTCTTTTTACAATTTGTTCACTTGTGGATTCTGTACATGCTGCAATGAAATTTGGATTATGAAAATGGTAAAATTTCTTCTTTTAGTTGAATCCAAGCTGCTAGGATGGTGAATTTGTTTGATATTTTTAACAGGTTTATGATGGTGAAATTTTAAAATACTGGTTAACTAATTAGTCGAATTTCTACTCCTTGATGATCCTTGTTATTTCTTGATTTCCTTCTCTTCCATTTAGAATTTATGATGGGTTTTGTATAAAGCAATGGCCCAGATCTTCAACTTGGAAAATTAGATAGTTTGCAATGATGAATTGATCAGATAGATGATTTCAATTATTTTTGCTCTGCTTAACTTTGCTTCTTGTTAGCAAATTTGAGAGAAAGCATGAATTATATCTGCAAATCTAGCGCATTGATTCTTGCTATATTAAAATCTAATACCTTTCAATACTTGGATGTGTATTTCCTAATAACTGTTTCCTTTCTTTATCCCATATTATGTAGTTCTCTCTTTGTAATTTTGTTGCTGAAAATATGTAAAACAAGAAAAGGAAAGACGAGTAATTGAGCTTGAATCATCTTGATGGGTTTGTTACTAGTATTCGTTGACGAATGATAAATTAATGTATTGAGCCTAGCATGTTGGAAATATTGCACATCAGGTGAAATTTAGTGATGCAGATTAAAGAATGAAGAGTAGTTTGCTCATGAAACATTGTAATAGCCTGAAGTATACCAATTTGGGGCTCAGTTCCATCAGCAACTTGGTTTTGTTTGTGTGTGAATCTATTCAATATGAAAAAGATGAGATGATAGGTAGTGAAGATAATCAAGAAGGGAAAGAGGTAGAATATTCATTTAGGTCAAGGTGGAGTTCAAAAATATGCAATTTATGGCTAATATGCGTGAAGAAATTGCGAGCCAATTACCTTAATTTTATATTTGATTATGTAGCAAACTAAAGTTGATTCACTTTAATTTTTATATTTTACTACATAGTGAACTGAAGTTGATGTACTTTAATTTTATATTTTATTCTACAGCGTTTGTAGTTATTGTGAATATTACTTTTAATTTTAATTTATAATATTCATCTTTAAATTAAAATTATATTTTATATAAATAATTAAATCATTTACAATAATTTAAAGTTAGTTAATTTTACTCTTAAGTATTTGGAAGGTCAAACATGTAAAACAATGCATTCATTCAGATGATTCAGAAAGCTCATTTACCAAACAATCTTAATTCTTCAACAATAAGCTTTTCATAATACTCCTTAATCACTCAGCTCATACGTTGTTGATTTAGATTCAACATTCAGAAATTAGCGCAAAGGAACGAGCCTTAAGTTAGAGAGAGGATAAAGAGAAATATAGAGATTCTGCTTCAGTTGATCAGCTTCAGTGGTTAAATCAAACAACAAAGATGATCGTGTGCGTTGCGGTTGTAGGGCATCAGGTATGCCTCTTAGAATTTTCCATCTTCTTTACTCAATCATCTAATTATTTTGCTATTGTTTAACCAAAATCTGATGAAATCGAAATGTGTAGAACAATCCGCTATACATTCAGAGCTTCACGGAGGCAGATGATGCTCTTAAGCTCCATCACATTGTCCATTGCTCTCTCGACGTGGTGGATGAACGAGGTACATTCATGGACCTTTTCAATTTTGATGATTAGTGGTGTAATTAATTTAATCATGCAGGTTCTTACTTATTTGATTGTATAATTGTCAAATGTCGTGTTTGTTTTGGTTCTAGAATTTGTTTGGTAATCTGTAATGGAATGAAATGTCTGTATTTTCATTTTTAAGTTGAAAGGGGGTTTAGGATTGTTAATTCACATGATTTACATTTTTGGGTGGGTTTTCAAAACTGTAAATCTGATTATTAGAAGTGGAATGCAATTACAGTGAATAATCCGAAAAAATCCGGGCCAACGCTGAATGAGACATTTCTTGGATTGCTTTATCCAACCGAGAATTATAAAGTGTAAGCAGTTCTTGTGGTTGTTTATGCCAAATAGTAGTTGATACTGTTCCAAGGTATGCTGCTATATTGGCAGGTCTGCATATCCTGATATAATGTTTTGTTTTCAGGTATGGCTATTTGACTAACACAAAGGTGAAATTCATTTTGGTTACAACAGATTTAGATGTCAGAGATGCAGATGTGAGAAATGTAAGGATCAATGTGCTAATTTCTTGTAGGACCTTGGTCAGAATTTTGCATAGAATGAGTATGTTCTATTTGTTCTGTTTGTTGATTGCTTACATGGGCATTGCAGTTAGTACATCAATTTCCATCTGCTATTTGTGGCAATATTTTGTTTTTTAATTAATTTTTATGTGATAAAGTATATGATGCTAGTATGGCTAGAGTATCGCTTAAATTCAAACAAGTGAACTTGTGAAGAGCTGATATTATGTGTGTTCAAATGTCTAACCAACCAAATTATAGAAAATAAGTATGTTTCCTTTTCATTTGAAGTAAATAATGGGCCTGTTTAAGTAAACGTAATGCAGATAAAGAATGCAAAATAGTCACTGAGAGAATCTTGGTATGGATGCAGTTTAGATGATTGAATTCCCTGTATCCATGGATAAAGAATGCAAAATAGTCACTGAGAGAATCTTGGTATGGATGCAGTTTAGATGATTGAATTCCCTGTATCCATGGATAAAGAATGCAAAATAGTCACTGAGAGAATCTTGGTATGGATGCAGTTTAGATGATTGAATTCCCTGTATCCATGGATAAAGAATGCAAAATAGTCACTGAGAGAACCTATTGTCTCGATAACCTTAGGATCATCGCAAAGTTGAGTAATTTTCGCCCTCCTTTATAATTACACTTCGCTCAGAGGTACTTCTGCATATCCTGATATAATCGTGTTCTTCTGTATGTAGTGAGGTTCATACCTGGTATATATACCGCTTATGTTTGGGAACTAAATACAACCAAATGGGGCTTCGTTACACATTCTATTTTGGAGGGTTGAACAAAACATGAATTTGAGAAGATGTCAGCGATGAAATGAACTGGGATATACAGAAATTGTCAGAATTCTCGTTACACAAGTGATACAAAAGTGGTGCTAAAATTTTCTCCTATTCTTGTAAGGAGAGACCTTGAGTTCATTTGTGAATTTTTTGACACAATTTAGAGAAACTGAGTTTATTGTTTGGTTTCATTTATTTTTTGGGTTACTCGGGTATTTTGTTTGATCCATGGCGTTTTAATTGCCCGGCAGACGTTGCAGGTCAGTACATTTCATCCAAAATTTCTCAACAGATATGCTGCTATTTGGGTGTGGACAAGTCTTATACTCTTTGATTGGTCTTAGGTTAGTAAATTATATTTATATCTTTATGTATTACCTATTGAGTAGTAAACAACTTGGATCAGCTGTAGGCATATTAATTTATGAAACGACATGGCGCAGATAGGAGGCTCAGGAGTGCAAGCTCCTTAATCAGTCCGCAATGAAACTTCAAAGTGAGGTACTGTCTTGTGAAGAGCTAAGGTAATTTTTGTTCGTTTGTTGCTTTTCACACTTTACTTTTCTTTCATCGTCTTCCTAAATTCTCATAAATCTCAGACATTATATTAGAGAAAATTAACTGTTGTGATTCCTGTCTCTTATTTTATTTGTGTAACTAGCTCAAAAAATCACTTTGAGGTTTCTGCCTTAGCCCTTTTGTTCAAGCCTTAGAGAAAAAATTCGATAGATTGAGCTTCGACGAATAAATAGAATAGGCTGGTAATTAGAGCAAATTAGATGACATTTGAAGAGTGAAACAAGCTAAGGTAGGAATGGAAAAATAAGCAGATTAAGATTGAACAAGACAATTCCCTGTATTATGCCATTTGGCATAGTACATGAATTCTTCATTATAGTTTGTGTTCTATCTTGAAGAGAATCTCTTGTTGTATAAAGAATGCAAAATAGTCACTGAGAGAATCTTGGTATGGATGCAGTTTAGATGATTGAATTCCCTGTATCCATGGATAAAGAATGCAAAATAGTCACTGAGAGAATCTTGGTATGGATGCAGTTTAGATGATTGAATTCCCTGTATCCATGGATAAAGAATGCAAAATAGTCACTGAGAGAATCTTGGTATGGATGCAGTTTAGATGATTGAATTCCCTGTATCCATGGATAAAGAATGCAAAATAGTCACTGAGAGAATCTTGGTATGGATGCAGTTTAGATGATTGAATTCCCTGTATCCATGGATAAAGAATGCAAAATAGTCACTGAGAGAATCTTGGTATGGATGCAGTTTAGATGATTGAATTCCCTGTATCCATGGATAATATTATACCTGTGCAGGAGCTACTAGTTTGTTCTTCATGATACTCTTTTTCATACTGCAGCGCACTGATTAGTCAAAAGTAAATGTCATTGCAACTTTGCTTTACATGTTAACATTCTTGTTGCATCTTTTTATGGACACGTAACTTTTTTTTATTTACAGATAGTGTGGTAATGGGAATTGGTTACTAATTACTACACTAGTCTTTTTGACATATTTGTCTAATTCCCTGGACACACACAAACACATATAGTTATACATCATATCATAATTATCGGAAGGGTGTGGATTCTTTCTATAATTGATGAATGGGTCGATACAAACAAGGGCAACTTTCTCCTTTCATACAAATCAAAAGAAAAGAAAAGAAAAGAAGTAACAGCAAGGAAAGGAGAGCCTTGTCAATCTTCTTAAAGATTATCCTTAGTGTAGGGTGTTGTAAATAGAAAATTTGTTCCTCTTTAATTTTTAATTTATTGATTTATATCTCCCGTGGCTAACAGTTAAATGAGTCTTAATTGCAGATATTTACACATTCTAACTATCTGCTTGTACTTGGAGTCATCATTGGCAAATGAATGTTAAAGAGTGTCAAATGACGGCTTTTTTAGTTGAGAAGGGAAACCGAACTGCAAGAACTAGTTGATTGAGGCCATATGCATATTCTTTTTTGCCATCTTCTTACAAAATTGTGTTGTTGCCATAAAACATTGAATTGGTGACATAAATTACTTGACATTTGTTGCTTGAAATGAGTTTTTCCCCAACTTTTTATTATGTAACCTTTTGGTGAAATTATTGTAGTTTTTCCGGAAGTTCCATGCCGCATATGTAGATGCAGTTTCAAACCCATTTCACGTGCCGGGCAAAAAGATCACTTCCAAAACTTTTGCAGAAAGGGTGAGCAACATTGTCAAATCATTTGGCTTGAGCTCAACTAGTTGAATGCTGCCATTGTAAATTTAACATTTCAAATTTAAAATGAAACTGGTTGATGTTTACTTTTCTTCCCATTAGCTTATTATTCCCATTGTCTTCTTCACATTGTAAATCAACTAATATTGTACCATTTTAAAGACTTGGTTCTTAGTTTTACAAAATACCAAACAAGTGATTTACCCCTCCTTATAGACATGGTTCTTTTATTGTGCATATGATTTTCATGTGTCGTATTTCTGCCCCTTGAATGGAAGGCAATTTCTGCCCCTTCATGTGTCTTATGTCCGATGTAATCTCAGTGCAGTAGAAATGGCAGCACAGAAGCTTGCAACATTTTGCATTTTATAACAAATACGAAAGTATATACGACGTAAGAGACTCTGTCAGTTTTGAGATTGAAATTGATTTTTATTAGAAGCATAATTCTAGATGCTGCTTGGAAAAAAACATATTTTTAGAGACATTAAACATGCTTTTGTTTCGCAGAAAATAATCTATTTTTGGAAAAATGTTGAAAATTAATTGGAAGGTATCAATATTTTAAATTTATAGACAATATAATTTCATATTTTATTTAATCTATTGTTTATATGAGAAAAAATATATAAAAAAATGGTAATTTCTGTTAGTTGCTTGACAGCTATGATGTGACTATCAGTAAGTGTTGGATTAATTATATTTATATATATTTCTTTAATATAAAGTTTCAGGAACTGAAAAATAACTTTGAAAAATGAAATTCATTTGTTTTTTTAAAATAGTTTAATGGTCTTTTACTTTTAAAAAAATATGTTCCAAAAAAAAAAAAAAAAAAAAATTTTTAAAAAAAATATGTTCAAAAAAAAAAAAAAAAAAAAAATCTGCGAAAGTAAAGGACAGCCCTAAAAATTGATTTTGGACGTTTTAAAGGAAAATGTTTCAAAATAAATTAATTTAATTTAAAACGTTGAACAAAGAGACGCCCCTTATTAGAACGTTAAAAAAAAAAAAAAAAAAAAATCTGCGAAGTAAACAGCCTAAAAATGATTTTGGACGTTAAGGAAAATGTTCAAAATAAATTAAATTTAATTTAAAACGTTGACAAAGAGCACGCCCCTAAGAACGTTTAGAAATTACAGTTGCAGACGTGTGCATATAACACGAGCCAAATCAGCTTAGAAAAACATCTGCCAAATCAAACTCATTGATTTAGCAAAAAGCAAAGCATGATTTTAGATTTTAAAGCCATTATGGAATATCTATCATTATCAGTTATGGAAAATACAACAAACATCCTGAAGCAAAAGAAACAGGAAAACTATTGCAATAAAATCAGGCAACGAAAAGGAATTCAATGGAAGAAATTCCATTCCATAATATGATCCTGAGTAGTCGAACAGAGGTCGCTTGGATATGGGACAGAATCCTAAATCAGAATATAAAAATTCGATGCAGAAGATAAATGTCAAAATATTCTTGTAGGGAGTTCTTGAAGGAAGTTGTGCAGCTGGACCGGAGTGCACATCCCAAGGTGAAAACGGCTGAAATTTTGCAGATGCAAAATTAAAATTCATCATCATCCTCCTCAGCTATGTGCTTCGCAAGCTCCTGTTCTTGCTGTTGTCTCTCCCTTCTCTTCTCAGCACTTTCTTTCTCCTTGTGGGAATTTGGAGGAAACATAAGTGCACGCACTGCTTCGTTATGCATATTGAGGCAGAAAGCAATCCTTGAGTTAAATTCAATTTGAGGCTCATTTGTGGAGTAAATATCCCCTGTTTCCTTTGATACCATCCAACCATTGGCATGATCCAGAGTTGCATCAATTGCGCCATCTCGTATTGCCTTCGCTACAATACTCTCAGCATCAGCAACAGGGTTTGAGGAATCCAATCTTAACTTCTTGGCCACATCAGCCAATGAAATACGGGAATAAGAAATACTGATGTTGCGAAGTCCGGTCCTTATCACATTGTGTCGCAGTCTAACAATTAAATTGTAAGTCCTGTCTGAACTGAAAGTGGTGGAGAACTTCTCTGCAACAGATTTAAAGAGCTCCAGATCTCCTATTCGAACAGCCTGAAAAACACATGATAAATGCTTAAGACTCAGGTCCCAGTGTAATAATTTTACAGCCAAGCTATCTTGCTGGCACAGGAGAGCAAGACAGTCGCGGATTGGGGGGGAGAAGAGCAAAGTTCCACATAAGTCATAACATAGTAATTGCCACAACAATCGAGAAATACAAGCTTCCCCCTGTACTTGTTTTTAGTCCAAAATGAGAAGCATAAACCTTGACCAACAAATTCAAAAACCTTATTCTCAATTTTATAAATTAAATCAAGCAAATTAATTTGATCAGTCTGTACTCACATTTGTCAACTCAAAGTAAGGCCTCAGAGCATTCTCCATGCCTTTCTGCATAAAAACAGTTCTCTCAGGGATTTCTCCTAGCAACAATCTGACAATAATTGCCCATTTGTTGCATTGAACTCGAAAACCAAGGGCTGCAACAGGTGCTTTCCGAGCAGCTTGAAGAAGGGACTCTTTTGCATCGGTGTACTCCAACTGAATAGTCCTAATTTTTCCCAAGTAAAAGAGGTACCGACAGAACTGCAATAAAGATTGTCAAATCTTAGAATGCACTGGACATGACTAATACGCCAAAATGCCAGCTCCCTAAAATTAACTTCATTTTGCAAGATATTTGATAATAAGTATCTAGTCATCAAGAAAATACGTAGTTCCATTGCACCATTTCCATATGATTCAATATTTTCATTAATTCACCTCCTAAAAATAAGGGTGCTAATTTTGTCTACATTCCAACAATCAACATGACATTTAAAATCTTAAGGACAATGCTAAAGATGCATCATCTCTGAAGCATGTGCGAGCCTTGAATTTTAAAGGTCAGCAAGCTTGAGAAGAAAGGGGCACTATTTGAAATATTGGTATATAATGTCGGTATCCAGCGAATGTTACTTTCAGTGCCCGTAGAAGTAGATACTGATTCTAACTTTTGATCACAAAAATGGAACATGTTAAGTTACTAAGGCACACTTGGTCAAGCAACCATACTCAACATTCATGTGCAACTCAATACATAGAAAAAGATGATTGTTGAATTTAGAAAGTAAAAGAGATGCCTGCTGATTCGAGTGAGCTTCAAATCGTGGGGCTTTAGACCTCAGCTTCTCTGCTTGATCATATAAATTGTAGTGGAGATAGTTGCGAAGTAGAAGGTTGAGAAGTGTTTCCTGCATCAAAACATTGTCATTATCCTAGTAAAGATACAGCAAAATAGACACAATGTAGCTACAGTAACAGAAACTTTACCTGACCAAGCTCATCATGGCGCAGTGTTGCAATGCGATGAAGAGCAAGGAGGTTGCTGTTGATGAAACAAAAAGTACCCAAGTTAAAAAATGAATTAAATCATTTTCAAAGATAGTTAATTACCATAGAATCGGCAGCCAAAACAAACCAACGCCTGTTTAGCAGATAAAACTAATGAATATAATGGTAAACATATCTCACCCTCTGATTTCAGAGAGATCACCAGTGAGTTCATAGCTAAGGGAGTAATAAAAGTAGAGCCTGGATGCTAGGACATCAACTGTCCTCCTATTCACGTTCTTCAGCCTGGCTATGCTTGCTGATGAACAAGCTTTAGCCTACAATAAGAGTTGATTAGCATAAGGTGGTTTCAACACCAAAACCAGAGAGGGGAGTAAGGCGTGACACTTGATTACTTGTGTTCAGCAGTACCTCATTATATTTCTTCTGATCAATCAAATATATTAGCACCAGCAAGTAGCAGTATATCTCTAGTTCTGGTAACGGATGTTTCACAAGAGCTGGAGTCACAGATGTTGCAGTATCAACCTCCATTTCATGTTCATCCTCCTGTCAGCAATGCGAAACAGTTAGAAGTGCCAATTACACCAAACTAAGAAGCCTTTCATACTTCAGTCTTAAGACATCTCTAAATAAGACACAACCTTCTACCAATAGCCAAACACAAAGAAATTTTGTTTTGGCACCTTAACACTTGCTAAGTTCAAAAACAAATGACCATTAACATTATCCATCTAACACAATCAAATTTTGTGTAGAAACTCAGCCCAACACAGAACAATGCAATTCAATGATATCTTCTGCCTCCTGTATTTAACACAGGAAGTCAAATCGAACATCTGGCAATTTGAAAAAGCACGAATGAGAACCCAAAACCCAACTGGGTTTCAATAAAAAAACAAAAATTACCTTAGGGAGATAGGAGACTAGCCGATTATGAGGCTCGGATCCAGGACTAAGAGCAAAATTAAGGAATGCAGAGAGCACTTGAGCCTTGAGCTTTCTCCTTAAGGCCATCGTCAAGCGAACAGCACGAACAATCCGCCTTACCTCTCGGGCATAGGCACCAGTCTCAATCAGTGACGCAATCTCTTTCAAATCTACAAAACAAACAAAATAAATCAAAACAAAATCTCAAATCCCCAATCTCAAAATCTAAGCAACAAAATCAAGAATGGAAAAAACACCCAACAATAGACTTACGGTGGAGAGTAGAAGGAGAAGAAGAGGTAGTAGAATTGCTAGGAGCTGGCTGCTCCTTCATCTCGACGTCTTGAGTCATAGTGAAATCTAGGGTTAACTTAAGCAAAAGAAATAGGGTATGTTAATTGAGGTTAAAATTGAGATTTTTAAAGAAAAAGAGAAAACAAGTGCAAGATTGAGTGAAGAAGTGAGTGAAAAATTTACCTTAAATTGTGAAAGATAGTGATTTGATCTGAGGAATGGAGGAGACGAAGAAACCCAAGGTGTTTTTAGTCCAGACTCGGACCTGCTTTTCTTTCCCTGCAAGTCTAGCAAAGATATCGAGAGAAAGAACGAGGGAAAGAATAAGGTGAAACGGTGTCACCTCAATGTGCTAGACCTAGACGGCGAGTTCGGAATGGATTTTTTTTTTTTTTTTTTTTTTTGGGTGAAACGGTTGTCACCTCAATTGTTTGCCTAGAACCTAGAGGGCCGAAAGTTCGGCGAATGGGGATTTTTTCTTTTTTTTTTTTTTTTTTTTTCACTAATTGAAACTTTTTTTTAACGGAGAACAAGGTACTCGGGGAAAAAAAAATTAAAAAATGGATTTTTTTTGTGAAATTTTGCATTTTTTTTAAATACTAATTGAACTTGTTAATACCCAAAATGAATAAATAATTTAAATAAAAATGGTTTAAAAATCAATAAAATATTAAAAAGAATCTCAATTCTCAAATAATGAACGAAGAAATTTTAATTTTTTTATTGGAAAAAATAAGTAAACATAAACGTAGGGCAATAATAATAAAATCGGAAAATTTTTAATAATGAGAAATAGACGGGGATTATAAAATGGAATTTTTTTTTTTTTTTTTTTTTTTCACTAATTGAAACTTTTTTTTAACGAGAAAAGGTACTCGAATATGGATTTTTTTGTGAAATTTTGCATTTTTTTTAAATACTAATTGAACTTGTTAATACCCAAAAATAATAATAATTAAATAAAAATGGTTTAAAATAATAAAATATTAAAGAGAATCTCAATTCTCAAATAATGAACGAAGAAATTTTAATTTAATTGGAAAAAATAGTAAACATAACAGTAAGGCAATAATAATAAAATCGGAAAATTTTAATATGAAAATAGAGGGATTATAAAATGAAAATAGAAATTTTATTACCTATAAAAAGTAGAAAGATTATAGAAAAAGACGTTTAAAGAGTAACAAGCTAAGAAATCACAAAGGCAGCTCTTCTCTACTATTGTGATCAAAATGACTTGAACTTAAGACATTCTTCTTTTTATTAGGAGACTAACCAAATCACTACCTGATTGACAACGTTAAATAGTCGAAATCTATAAAATAGACAAATTAATAAGATATTTTTTGATTCGTTGGGAGGTTTAATAGGTCAAAATAACACTATGGAATTATGGATGATCTAAACTTGAGATTTTTCATTTTTCGTATAAGTGAGAAGACCAATAAAATTATATGTAATTGACAATTGAAAAATATTTGATAACAAGATAAATAATTTTTCTACCTAGTTCTTGTACATTATTGTAATGAAACAAGTAAGTTTTATAAAATAATTGACAAAATCTTTAATAGTTGAACAACAATATTCTTGATAAGGTTTGTAATTAGTATCAAAACTGAGGTGAGGACTTTTATTTTTTTGACGACTCAAAGTGTTTATGTATTATTAATGTCAAACTAAAAGACATCATCATCAATTAAAGTTACAGAGACAATACCACGCTTTAATGAATCAATCATAGAAATAGATGTCCTTGCTAGCATATGAGCAGCCTAATTCGCTGATTTTTCTAACAAACTTCACATCTATAGTAGCAATACTTGAAAGGGACATTCTACAATCCGCAATCAAAAATCCAACAATAAGAATCATCATTGCGTAAAACATTAACTGCCAGAAGACAATCACTCTCAAGCTCAATTCTTCTATGAGTAAAATCTTCTTTAAACTAACTTAATACTTCCCTTAGCCCAAGTAACTCAGCAATGAACAAACTTGACACATCCTGGAAATGACTTAAACGATCTCCGAAGCTAAGATCATGCTCATCACAAACTAACCAGTCCAATTCTTATTTTGTGTGACTCGTTATTCCAAATTGCGTCAATATTAAACTTAACAATGAAATGTCGATAGAAGAATGTAAATAGCTCAAAGATGAGATTATAAGACGCTTAGTCAAAAGAGAGATTCAATCTCAGGTAGTTAAAACACCAATTTCTTTTTTTCCCTCTTATTGCTGTGACCGCGCGTACCCTCATCCAACCCCAGATTAATATGATATTGTCCGTTTTGGGTCAAACCCTCACGGATTTGTTTTTGGATATTTCTCAAAAGGTCTCATACTAATGGGTTGGATTTGAACCATTATATTTTGATTTCTCTTCTCACATTTATTCGATGTGGGACTTGGGAGGATATCCCAACAGTAATGTTACGTAAATCGTGGGTTAGCTTCCTGCACCACATTTCCGAAACATTGTACCCAAATGCGTATCGAGATACTAAAATTAGCGAATCGATTATCATAGGATATTTAGAGTCAAAATTCTAATTAAATACCTTTCAATTTTAGACTTTTAATTATAGTAGTTAATTACTTGGCATATTTACTAGATTTTTAAATTCACTAAATAGTAAAACAATTAATATATTAAACAATTATCCTCTTTGATAGGATTTTAATTACAAAATAGTAAAATACATAGGCTACTAAATAGTAACATACCTAGAATATAAAACATTATCCTATTTATTAGGTTTTACTACAGAGTAAAATAGCTATCCTATGTAGTATATAATATCTAGTAAGATTTTTTAAAATTTTTATATATATATGCACAAATGATTATCCTATTTAAAGGTTTTAAATTAATTAAATAAGACAATATATAATATATAAATAATTAGCCTATTTAGTAATGTTTAAGTCTTACTAAATAATAAATCAGATAGAGTTTTAAATTTACTAAATTGTAAACTACCTCATATCATACTTGAAAATTTTTAAACCCCTATTGCTTTTCTTTTTTTTTTTTTCATGATTTTTTCTTCTTTTCCTTCTAAATTTAACAAACTGCCATGGCTTTTGGAAAGAGGAGGAAGGAAGTTGATCAATTCACCTAAGATGTTCAAATTATTGGAGATGATTCAAGTGGAGAAGAAGAAATAGCAAAAAAACAAGAGCCTCCAAAACAAACTAATTCAAATTTGAAATTGAAACCATTATTAAGTGAGATCAATTATATTATTGATGAAAAAATAAAAACTTCAGGAGGATCAAAAGTACGACATGAAATCATTATAAACGTCAATTTTACCAGTTCTGATACTCGCGTTTATTACCGGTTTTCGGTGCTCCTCTTGGAAAGAAAGCGGAAAATCAATGATGTACTGCGATGATGAGGGACCAACCAACATACAAGAGATTAAGAAGAAAAGTTCAAGAATTTGAAAGGGTTGGAGTTTCATCTTCTTTGAGAAATGCAACACTCATAAAATTATCTACCAAAACTATTAACGAATCTTTTCAAATAATGGAGAGAGATATAGTTGGTATGAAAATTATGAAAGACTTGTGTGCTAATGATATTCTATTTAATGTTTGAAGAAATCCTCAATTTCATAAAATGATATGCACAGTTAATAGAGGTCTTAAGGATTACAAAGCTCCATCTTATGATAAGGCAAGAACTGCTTTTTTAGAAGAATGTAAAATGAGTGTTGAAAAGGATTTAATTCATATAAAAGATACTTGGTTCACTCAAGGTGCTTCAATTGTTAGTGATAGATGGACAAATTGTAAAAATCAGAGTTTAATAAATGTTATTGCAGCAAATAATCGAGGATCTATGTTTTTATACGCGGAGGACTTTTCAGGAGTTACAAAAACAAGAAAGGAAATTATTTGAATTTTTATTAAAAATTATTGATGGAATAGGTCTTAATAATGTTATTCAAGTTGTAACTGATAATGCTACTCGTTGTAAACTTGTTGGAAAAGAAATTAAAAAGGTGCATAAGCATATATATATATTTTTTTATCACCTTGTATTGTTCATACATTGAATCCTGTTTTGAAAGATTTTATAAAAGCATTTGATTCATAGTGCTTATTCTTATATTCATAGTGCCAAAAGAAACAAACTAAATTCTTCTAGAGCTGATAAGTTAGTTTTTATTCATTCAAACTTATGCTTGTAATTTCATTTTATGGAAAACTACAATCATGGCCCTTACAAAAAAAATGGGATATTGAGTCAAAAGAAACATATATAGATGGCTCTAGTATTAGATTAGAGAAGTTGAGGTGGAAATCATTAGAGGATGAGTATGCTGAGAAGTGAGAACTTAAATAACTTTAGAAAATAAGATATTGAAATTTCAAATATTTATATTTTTCTTTAACTTGCATTTATTTGGTAGACATTAATTCGGCATTTTGAATTTTAAATTACATTTAAGTCTTTTATGAAATTTCAAATTATCTAATTAGAGTTACTTAATTTTTTTGTATATATTATTCTTAATATGTCTATGGGGGTGTGTGTGTGTGTCAAGAGAGAGAGAGATACTTTAAGCTTAATAAAATAATTATTTGTGATTATGTTATTTATCATGCATATAATTCAAAGCGAATTCAATAAAAATTTTTACCGTATTACTTTTCCATATAATATACCCCATATCATAAATTTAAAAAGTGTCATACTCAGTATTTATACTCGTACTTCATATTACGGCATACCATATTTTAAGTAACACTAGTTTGAAGATCTTGACTAAAAAGGAGAGGTTTGCTTAGTCTTCAATAGTATGTATTGGCCTAGAGAAGTGACAAAAAGCATTGATTAATGTAACAGCAGGAGGAGCTGGTATACCCAAAGCATAAAGGAAAAGAGTCTTGTCGACAGCTAAAGAAAGTGAGATATGCCAAACTCCGATGACTTTTAGCCTAGCAAACTCCTAAATCAAGTCACCTTATTATAATCCATTGGTGATCACCATATAAATAAATAAGTTTCAAATAAAATAATTCCTCGTTGATATGGGAAATGTAGTTAACCTCATCATTCTTGATGTAACACTTAAATTGGAATTAAAAAAAGAAAAATTTAGCTAAGTTCCTAGTATCCTTCTAGGCCTAAGAGAGAGGATTGTACTGAAGTTAGGTTTAATAAACTTAGGCTTCTACATTGGGGATAAGAAGTATGAGAGAGAAATTTATAAAGAATTTTTCATTGTAGATATTTCGTTAGCCTATAATGTGATCTTTGGACAACCTATTCTTAATAGTTATGGGACACACATTAACATAACTTTGTTCTGCCCTAAACTT